TGGCAAATGACCCACGGATTCCCAGTGCCTTTGCTTGCTGGCAGCCATCACACCCACAGCGATTTCATGCACAAAATTGACACAAAAGCCAAATGCAGGCAGAGGGTAGAGCTCCAGCAAACCGGATTCTGCATTTATTGGACTCAGAACAACAGCGGATTTTCAGGTTACAAAAAGAACTGAACACCAAGCGTGAGGGGCCACCCTGTGGCATGGCTGGGGGCTCACATGGGCCCCAGGCATGGCTGAAAGAGAAAGGAAAATTTTCATTTACCCCCAGCACGGTTTCTTTACCTGGGTGCCAGGCAAGCCCCTCTCTTTGGTTACACAAATGAACGTCCTTCAGTCCCACATGGGGACTTGTGAGTTGCAATTGTCCCCAGGCATCCTGCACTGCACCCCATTGGCCCAAGCAGCATCTGTCACCACAGTCCAGCCCTACCAAAACACTCTGGGGCTCTCTCTTCCATCCAATGCATTCAGTTACAAAAAAAAAAAAAACCAAAAAAACAAAAAAAACCCAAAAAACAACAACAAAAAAAAAAACAACAAACAGAAAAACCAGCTGTGTCAGCAATCCATCTAATTCCTTCTCTGGGATAATTTACCCTCAGGTCATGCTATAATTTGGGCAAAGCACTGCAATTCCAAACTGGGCCAGACCAGGCTGTGTGCTCTGCACCTACATTATATGGTTTGTGGGGTCTCCAGGGTCACAGCCCCATGGAAATGGGGCCAAGGTGTGCCCAGTATCATGGTCAGCCCTCACCTTGGAGCCAGGCCCCAGGAAAAAACCAGCATCATACCCCAAAGTCTCTCTGCCATTCCAAGGCTCTTTTTTTTCTGGCAATGCTGTGGCATTGGCTTCTGTCTTTCCCTCAGCTCTGGTGGAAGAAGCAATTGCAGACTGGCCTTTGTTACTCCCAGCAACACAGCTGTGGGCTGGGAGGCCCCTCCAGGCAAAAAGGCACCAGCAACGAGCTTTTTGGCTTATTACAAAGAAAGTAAAATATATCAAATAGAGAACTCTTATTATTACAGAGACATGTTAACAAAGAGAAACAGCATAAAATTGCCACAGAACACCAAATATCCGGCACAGAGAGCAGCTTTTATCCACTTGCTAAGGGTTTATGTGGGTGCAGAGATTTACTCTGTGAGTCACAAGCACAGCATCCCTCTGCTGCTGAAGGGAAGGAGCACAGGGAGCAGGCACCAGTGGGCAGGGGAGGTTCTGACCCACCCGAAGGGGTTGGGACCTCCTGCCTGCCCACAGCCACCCCCAGTGGCCACAGCCAGCCCTGGGCCTGCACACAGGTGGAACTCAGACACTCTCTGTGACCCCAGCATTCTGCCCAAATGTGTGAGGACACTTTGTACAAGTCAAAGAGGGAAGGAACAAGGGACGCTCCATTGTTCCCCAATGCAAATGCTGTCCCTGTCTAACCTCAAGAAGACACAGGAAGGCTGGAGAAGGTGAGACTGACCCCAGCCTATGCTAGTGTGTGCTCTGTACATGCCACAAAAAGGGGGACCTTTGCAAACTGGGCAGCACCCAGCCAGAAAAATAATGAAAAGTCTCCATTAAATTGGCACGTTCTGACTCATGTCCTGCAGAGCATCCAGTACCTCAGTGTGCAACCAGAGAGGACTCTTAGAGCATGTCACTAAATAGATATCTTTAGCAATAGAAAATGGGCCATGCCTTTATTTTATACAGAGATAGATAATTTTAGCATACATTATGTTATTGAAACATCCAGGGCAAGAGCTCAGCAAGGGGAGGGACAGCACAGGGACTGCAGGGCTGGCCGGTGCTGGGAGGTGACAGGGCAGCAGCTCTCGGGCTGGCTGGGAGGCAGGTGACACCTTGGGTACCCTCAGCATTCCCTACAGACCACAGGGACAGCCCCATGGCCCAGAGCAAGGAGTGGCACTGCAGGGAGGGTCCTGCCCCAGCTTCACTCCCCTCACTGAGCACCCTGTCCCCTGAGCCAAGCACAAAGGGCCTCTTGGACATTATGGCAGTGGCATGTGGATGCTGCCAGCTCTCCAGACTCAACCACAGCCTCTCCAAGCAGAGAGCTGCTGTCCTGGCTCTTGCTCCTGCTGAGGCAGGGGGTGCTGGCAGGAGCCTGTCAGGCTCAGGTGGGCACAGGTTGATGATACCTGCCCTGGGAATGCTGCATGCCATTGCACCATTTGATCTGTCTCACTGCTTCTGCCATGACACAGAGCTGAGGAAGTGTTCCTCCTGCTCTCACTAAAGGCAGCATCCTTTATCCCACACCCTCTGCTATGGAATGGTGCCCATCCATGCACAAACACTGCTCCCAGGGAGATGCCAAGGTCTGTATCCCTTGTCCTCCATCTGCTGCCTTGGGCAGGAGCTGATGGGCCAAGCCATGACCCAGACTGAGGCAGCTCAAAACCCACCACACCTCTGAGATGAGCCAGAGCAGAGTCAGGGAATCCACAGGGGAACGTGGAGGTGGTTGGTCTCAGCTGTGACACCCAGGGGGTCCCAACTCCAGGGCTCAGCCCAAGGAGAGCCTCAGGCACAGCTTCTTTGGGACTGTGAACATGGTGAAATTCTCCTTGCTTTATTAAAGCAAAAGTAGACAAGAAAATGCAAAAGAAAACAAAAAGCATAAAGATAAATGGCATGAGTTGGACTTTGGTATTTCTTAAAGCCTCTTCTTCCCCAGTTCCTGCAGCAGCTCATGAAAATCCACATGGAAACAGCATTAATTCCCCCAGCAAATACACACACAGGTGCTGCGAGTCCTGGCTCCCACATTTCCTGGTAATCATATTGTAAAAACCCAACTTTTGAATTAACAAGTTGCAGAAGTTTACTGTGATAGTGAAGAGATAGAGAACATGACCTCAATGCCCCTGACTGCCCCTCTGTCCTGGGCTGGGGGTGCTCCCCGTGAGCTCCTGCCTTGCTCAGCACTCGCTGTGCTGGGTGACACACACAGGGCACAGGCAGAATCCTTCCCCTGCTCCTCCACTTCTCATTCACATGGTGCTCCCACCAGCAAAGCAGGGTGGGCAAATCCCTGTTAGGTTTGGCCTCTTTTCAGTCTCCCAGCAGATGAACACCCAGCAGGACACTCATTAACCAACCAAACCTTCCCTGACATGAGCCTATGTGAAGCACAAAGCTCTTCCAAATTGCTGTTCCAACTGCTTGGAGCCTGAGCTGATAACAGGGACTGGGAATCACCACTCTGCTGTGAAGAGCCGGAGAAAATTCCAGAAGACAGGGATTCACCAGCTGGAATTTTTTACTGGTTCATTTACAAATATCTGTAGCTCACACCAGCACTGAAAATGCCAGCAGCCCTCTAGCATGGAGGGGTCTCTGAGAGCAGCAATCTGCCAGCCAGAAAGTTCACCTATGGATTCTGTTCCTGCCCACATGAGAGGATTTCAGGAGGAGGAGCAGGATCAGATCCCTGTCTAGCAGAGGAAGGAAAACCATTACAAAGAAAGATCCTCTCCTTCCATAGGGGCTATTCCCCCACTCCTTCTTGTAAAGAAAATCCCATCAAAAGGTTGGAAAGCATCAGGGAAATTGTTTGTTTTACTCCAAGAATGTAAAGGAGCAGCTGCACCATGATGGCATTTCCTGGAGAGCTGGGCACAGGGCTCTGGGTGGGCACAGGGCTCTGGGTGTGCTCACTGCCCTGGGAGGGTGCAAAGTTTGCTGTTTGTCTGTGCTGGCACAAGAATCCCTCGCAGATGTCTGGGTTGGTAATGCCAGGCCATGTCACAACCCATGATGGCATGTGTGACCCTGGCACCAGCCTGTGTGTGTGTGCAGTCACTGACAGCCTGCCTGGGTCTGGGCAGGTGGTTTTGATGAACTCAGCATGTGCAGGAAGATGGGAACTAAAACACCACAGAGCACAAAGGCTTGGCTGCTGTGTGTGTACCGGGGACAGGCTGGGTGTGTGGGGAGTGCCCATGGGATGGGGTGTGGGTGGTGTGTAAGGGATGGGGTGTGGGTGATGCACATGGGATAGGGTGTGTGGGTGGTGTGTAAGGGATGGGGTGTGGGGTGGTGCACATGGGATGGGGTGTGTGGGTGGTGTCTAAGGGATGGTGTGTGGATGGTGTGGTGCATACAGGGCCATGTACATGGGACAGTGAGTGCCCAGTGGTGTCCTCGTGGGCTGCAATCAGCCACTGCCATCAGCAGCAGCTCTGTGTGCTGCTTCCAAGAGCAGGGGTGCTTCCCTTGCAGCCCCCCAAAGAGCTCTGGTGGCAGCAGCCAGTTCCCACAGCCACCTCTCCATGGACAGGATTCAGAGAGGAGTCCCATGGTCCCACAGGTCCCATAGACCCTGGCCTTGGTCTTGGCTCCAGAACACTGATCTGCTGGCTTTGGAAAAAAATAGTTGGGACAAAATATTTGGGACAAATGAAGGGAAAGAGCATAGCTGGAATCCCAGGTCTGCAGAGCCATGACAGGAGCAGAGCAGGTGTGGGGGCAGGGGCTGCAGGTGCCCAGGGGAGCCAGGCAGGTGTGAGGTCCGAGGGCATCAGGCACTTTCAGAGGTGGGTTCAGCTTTGTCAGGGAGCAGCAGCTGGCAAGGACAGGAATGTGACTACTGAGCACCTGGAGGTCTGACCCAGCTGGACAGGCCATAGGAAAAACATCCCAGGTGGAAAACAGGAGCCAGCCATCGCTGGGGGATTTCCAAGGTGATCTTCCTTGGCAGGCCTTGTGCTGCAGCCTGTCCTCTCCATCGCTCGTGTCTCGGCAGTGCAGGCCGGTGCCAGGGCCGAGCTGACCACAGCACATCCCACAGTGGCTGCAGGGCCCGTGAACTCCTCAGCCACAAATTTGTCTTGTCCCCCAGCTCTGCTCTGCTTCTCTTCTGCAATGTTTGAACTTATCTGCTTCCCAGCACCATAGTGCAAACAAAACATCCAGAAGGAGGCTGGCGACATAACCCACACCCAAATGCGGAGCTGCAACCTGCTTTGTGTTGTATTCTTTTTATAAAAATCACCCCAAACCCACCAACCACTGGCACTTCTTCTGCTGTCTCGTGGCCCTGGGCTGCTGGAGTCACCGTGACAAACAGAGGAGAACACTCAGACAGGGTGCCACTGCCCCCACCAGTCCCCGTCCATCACCGTGAGCAGCTGGTGCCAGGCAGAGGTCGGCGCCAGGGGTTCAGTTCAGAGGTACCTCAGGAAAATTGTAATCTCAGGAATCCCAGCAGGTCTGTCACTGCCTGTCCCCTTGGCCACCGCCACAGAGGGATTCCCCAAGGCACTGCAGGACAGTAGTGCAGAAGTAACAGGCAGGAGATGGCTGGAATGGGGGTGGCAGCACGGGGGTCCCTCTGAAAGATCACTGTGCATGGAAGTAGATAGGCTTGACTTTTCCAGACAGGATCTTGGGAACCTGCACAGAGATGATCTCGGCCATCATTTCTGGGTAGTCCACGCTCACCATGTGTGCCTTGATTAGGAGATCAAATGTAAACTGATGCAGGTCCTTGGCAATCTGGGAAAGGAAGAGAGCTGGTTAAACAAGTCCCTGGGCAGTGCTTTCTCTGGGAAGATACATGACAGAGGCCCCACCTACCCCAGGAAAGGGAAACTGGATGAAACTGTCCAGTGCTCTCTCCAATTGCATCTGAACTCCTCCCATGATATGGAGGTTGTTCCAGAGAACGATCATTCTCTCTATGAAAAGTTTCTTTTTTATATTGTTCCTTATGCATTTAGATGGTCATTATGTGTACAGATGGACATTTCCCTGTCCTCTCTTACCGGATGCACAGAGTCCAGGACCTTGGTGAGCTGGTAAAACCTCCGGGAGCAGGAGGTGGGGTTCTTCCTCTTGCAGGCAATGATCCGGTCAAGTTCCTTGATGTAATTCATGCGGAGCTCATCAAAGAGCTTCTGGTTCTTCAGGCCATCCACTGGAACTGGGTGGGAGGGGAAGGAAACAGTGAGAGGAGCCCAGAAAGTGACAACAATAGGAGAGCAGGAGGAAGGGCTGAAGCAGGGGACATCCCCAGCCTCCTCCTGAGAAGTGAAAGTCCAGGCACAGGAAAAGCACCAGATGCCTCAAGATGCTGGAGCTCTGTGGAGGGAAGGGTGTGGATACTCACTAATACTGAAGAAGAGGAGAGCCTTCATACAGAGGAACTCCTGGGGTGTGATCTGAAGCCACCCAAATTCCTGGGAGAGGTGCCTCATCCTGATGCACTGGCTGTACATCCTGGATTTGTGCATGCGGTACCTGGCAGGGTGAGATGGGCACAGATGGCACAGAGCCCAGCATGCACATGTGTGAGAGGGGGACACTCCCTGACCCAGCAAATCCCCCTGCTTGGCACAGCCTGCTGCCAAGGGCCCGAGCTCTGCCTCATGCAGGAGTGGAGCATTTTCCAGAAGGCCTGTGTGTGATCCTCACTGGACACAGATGGCCACAAGGGACTTGCAGCGTTTGTCTGAAGAGCGACTGCAATGATTTCCCAAACATTTCTGTCTGTCAGGGATATGAGGCTGAGCTGGAGCTCCCAGGCAGGTGGGAGTTTGTCTGCTGCTGTGTTTGGTTATTGGGTTCAGGCGCTTCTGAGTGCCAGCAAACCCTCCCCAGCTCTAAGCTGATAGTACATCAAGGAGAGCCCACCAGGACCTTACAGTACATTTTGTCTCTATCTCTGCTCACCCCAGCTACCCAACAGAGCTGGAATTCAAACCCCATGGCAGAAAGACAGAAATTAAACAATCCCTCACCCCATACCAGCTTCTGCTGCTGCCCCAGTGGGTGTTAACCCACAGCAAGGCTGAGGGAGCAGGCAGAAGGACCCAGAGAGGCATCACAGTGGCCTCACTGCTCCTGGAGGTCGCCATGGGTGGTGACAGCGGGGAGCAGGATGGGCACAGCCAGGGTGGGCTGTGCTGGGCAGCTCAGTGTAACTGCTCTAAGTGTAGTTTGACACCTGGGCTGACCCAAAGCCCAGCATCAGGCTGTTGTTGGTTCACACTTACTCATTGAAGACCAGGTCTGGAGCAAAGTAAAGCATCCTGGAATTGACATTGGTGAAGGATCTCCACCCCATAGCAAACACCATCAGGCCCATCCAAGAGTATTGGATTATTGACATCTGGTCATCCACATGCAGGTTGCGAAATCCTAATAAACAATGAGGGAAGGATGTTACAAATTACTGTTGGGTTCCTGCAGCTTCCAGGGCTGTTTCCAGGCAGACTCCAGCTCTCCTTCAGCGCTTCTCTTAGGACAAGCGGGTCAGTCCACAGCCCAAGCTCAGCCAGCTCATGTCTCAGGACATGAGTCCCCATGGAGCTCCCACCTTGACTGGGAATCAAGAATAGACAAGCACAAACCTGCCCCTGGAAGGGAAGAAAGGGAACTTCAGAGACAAATAGGGGAGAAAATTCCACTAGGACTGCACCAATTTAAGTAACTGGATTTTTATGTGATGCTTAGAGACAGCAGGCAGCCCCTAGGCCTCCCACCATGGCTACAGGTGCTCTGGTTTCTGCCCCATACACACTGCATGGATCTCTTGACTGTGGGAATGAGCACGGAAACCTCAGCTACATTGCAAGAGAAACAAAAATAGCAACTAAATTCAAATTACCATTCCCAGATGGCAGCCCAGAGTTAAACCCCAGGCATGCTTTCACCACCTCCAACGCTGTTTTTTTCAACATACTCGTAAATAGGCAAATATAATTGAGTTTCAAGGCAATCATGCATTATTTCAATCAAATATTAAAGCAATTTAACAGCTCCAGTGTATAATTACAACCCATTGAGGCAAGGATCTCTGTGCTTTGGAGAGCTCTTCAAGGCAAACAAGCTGGAGAATGAGCCTTGCCCAGATGCCACCCTGGCACAGTCGGTGCTGGCCCTGGGGGCAGCAGGGCAGCAGCTGACACTGCTACAGACTGAGAGGTCGGGCATCAGGTGCAGCTCAGGAGAGTAAAACCCTCTGATAAAGGGGTGGTTATGATAGAAAACATTTCCCTCAGCACTCTCCCAGGTGGCTTTGGGGTGTCTCTGTGGATCTTGATGTCTGGTGTAGACAAGCCAAAGAGGAAGCAAGGTTTGTCCCTGGTTTTACAAGCCAAGTGGCTCAGGAATAGCAGAAACAGAATGGGCTACTCTGCATTTAAGGGTATGCAGACCAATATCCCACTGGGAGCACCTGTTTAGGGGGCTGCTAAACTCCTGGGAACATCAGACACCTGGCCACAGCTCATCACCAGGGTTTGGCAGAGAGTGGCAAACTTACTGTGCCTCAGTCTCCTCCTCTGGCTGTATCACCCCAGACACATGAGGAGCAGGGTTCCTCCTTTCTCTGGTGTTCCCTGAGGAATGGGGTCAGAAAGGAGAAGGCAGCAGGACCTGGCCCCGTGCCCCAGTCTCCAGGATGCTGGGAGGTGAGCTGGGTGCTGCTGTGCCCAGACTGAGCTCAGCCCTCTGCAATCCCACTCACCCAGTTCCAGGATGACAAGGTGGAACAGGCAGCATGTCCCCCAACCTTGCAGTGATGCCTTGCAAATCCTGCTCAATGAACACATCATTCACCAGGATGCTCCATTTACTGCACCTGCTGACCAGCATCTGGAAAATTCCTGACCCCTATTACCTCTCTGAAGCATCACAAATATATCACACCAGGCCATCACATGGGCAACCTGAGTGACTGCCAGGAAAAGCCCTTTGGGATTCTGCATTGCTCTTCTGCCATGTTGCTATTTACCCTTTTCATCACTTCAGGTGGGTTCTGGGACAGGGCTGATCCTTGTCTAGAGGGCAGTTCTTCAGGGCCGGCAGACACGGCTTGGAAGGGGAGCAAAACCTCCATGGAAAGAGGGGGAGAAGAGCAGGACCCTGAGCCCAGACCAGCTGCAGCCCTGCCATGGGGGGAAGTGCCCTGTGCCCACATGGCATGGCTGACCAGGGGCTGTGTGAACCCAGAGTACAATCCCAACACATCCCATCACCCCTCAGTTCCTTCTCCCATCATCAGCCCCTCTAGAGACAAGTCCCAGGCTGCTACAGGCAGGGGACACACACACTGCCCATGGAGAGGATCCCCCAGGAGCTGTGCGATGGGACAGGGTCTGCAGACCACCCCCTCTGCCCCTGCCCCCAGCAGTGCACATGGGCTCTGGAGCTGGGAGAGGATTTGTTTGCTTTCCTTCTCACCTGGCAGAGCCTTTGCCCATTTGACCACGTAGACCAGCTGCCTCTCCCCAAGCTCATTCAGGCTGGTCAGCAGGTTGGAGAAGGAGTCAGGCTGGCTGTTGTCATGGCCAGCACACACCACCCCAGGCTCAATGGCCTCCAGGACGTTGAGGAAGATGGGCTGGCACTCGTAGCCATCAATGCGTGTCATCACCAGCTTGGGAGCTTGCTCCTCTGTTGGGCTGGATGAGCTGGCTCCCTCCATGTCATCCTGGGCCTTCAGGTTACCCAGTTTCTTCAGCTTGCGGGCTGTGGGAAAGATACAGTTTAGTGTGATACTTAAAAATATGTTAAAAACATGTCAGGGCTTCTTGGCTCCATCACTGTAGTTATGAGGAAAGGGAAAGTGATGAGAGCAGCAGCTCCTCCCTCAGTGGGCACTGCCCAAGGAGTGCCCTGGCATTGCAGCTCTCACCGAAGAGGAGAACACACTGTGTGACAAAATCCATTTTGTTGTTAATCTGACATGGAAAAGAACCAACATGATTTACATCCTCTGCAATGACTGGTCTGTAAGTCCCACTTAAAAACAGAGAGGAAGATCCAGGGAAGAGAGAGAAGAGGTTTTGACTCAACTCAAACTACTGCTTGTATGCAATCAAAAAGAGGAGCAACACAAGATGATAAACTCAGCACACAGTCATGTTCCAAGGACAAAAAACATTGCACATGGATGGCCAAGTGGGATTGTCCCATCCCAGACCAGGGCAGAAGCAGGATGCATCTGAGATAAAAGCCTGCAATGCCTGCTGCCCCATAGCAGGCTCTCCCAAACACACTGCACACATATTACACAAAACACATCTCAGAAGCCAGCAGGGGGTTCCAGGGCTGTTTCCCTGGAGTCCCCACCAAGGGGGAGTGGACCCAAGCCAGGTGGTCTCACTCTGCTGTGCAGCCTCATGAGCCTCATGAGCTGGCAGGGGGACCAAAGCAGCCAGTGACTCTGCTTGTGCCAACCATGAAAAGGTGTTTTCCCCACACACCTGGCTCTTAACCCCAGCTGCAGCACTCCAGAGGTGTGATACCAGAGGTCTTGGGGAGTCCATGTTCCCCTCATTGACACCAGCATGACATTGCTCAGCACAGGTGGCCTGCTCCTGCCACACCTCACCGAATCCAAACCCCAGCTAATTAGAGAACAAAAGCCCATGGCTTCAGCAGGTAATACAACATCAAACCAGTTGTCCTTGGGGTTTTGGCTCCTTCATTATATGATACTTATCTCAAATTTCCTTTCAGCTGTAATTAGAAAAATAAGCAGTAAAACATAAAAATGTCAAGTCAAAGTGCAGCTCTGTAAATTAACTCCAAATGTTGATTTTTAATTTTTTTTTTTTGTACTCTGTATGATCTGCTGTATGGGCAATGAAGACAGGCCTCTCTGTAAAAAGGGAGGAGAAAGGATAAATAAAAATACAGGAAAGCAAGAGGAAAACAGTGCTGCAGCACAGAGTGATGGCCTCTGGCCATCAGCCACTCGTTTGATACGGCCTCTTCTCCCTTGCTTCCAAAGTCACAGCTCTGCCAAAGCCACCACTAACCCACATCCCCAAGTGACACAGCCACAAATCTGTTAAATCCCCCCAGGGATGGTGACTCCACTTGGGCAGCCTGTGACAGAGTTTGGATTTAGAAATAACCACTGCCCCAGGTCATGTGTGTCAGCAAAGCCAAACCCACATGTACAAAACACACATATGGTTTGGTTTAAATGCTTGGGTTTCTTCCCTTAATATTTAATTATCTAGTATGAAAATATCCCAAATGAAGTGAGAAAACAGCAAGTACCTACTGCATTGGCTCTGAAACTGCAGCCACAAACCAGACTCTTCTGTGACAATGGGTGTTAACTGTGCTATCAGACAGGCCTGGGGTTTGTGCATTCCAGGAGCACTGAAATACTGACATTACCAAGTGGAGAAAACCTTCAGAGGTAAAGACTGGCTCCTACTCAGTCACCTCTGCCAAACCCCTTTGTGGTGGTGGCTCCTACTCAGCAGGTAATATAAACAAAAAATTAAAAACTGGAATTAAAGACATCTGCAATGTTTTTACTCTAGGATGAGCTAAACTGGGTAGAAATCTACATTGCACTTCTTCAAACCAAGATGGGAGAAACCTTAGGAAATGTGATTAATACTGGGATGTTCCTGCTTGGCTGTCAGGGACAAGGAGCCCAGGGAGCCTCGAGGTACAGCTGCAGCACAGCACTGCCCCAAGCCCTGCAAGCTGGCCTGGGGGTCTCTGGGGAACTATTGGATGGATTTGGAAAAAAGCTTAAAGGATACAATTATATATCACAATAAAATATTCAGCAGTGCAAGAACCCCCGGGAGCACACTCAGAGTGATGGCCAAAGTGATACACATTTCAAACATCTCCCTTACAGGCACTTCTAAAGCACTGAGGAAGGAGCACTCTGGGCTCCAGCACCAGTTTTCATGACGCCAGGACTTAGGGAAGTTAAGGAGACCTGGAAGAAGCTGCTCTTGCACTGACTACAATGGAAAGATCCTGCAGCACACGTCGAGCTCAGCTGCCAGAGGGACACTGAGGAGATGAACAGGACTTGTTTTAGAACTTGCTGCCCTTTGCTGTTTTTATGAGCTTCACACAAGGCTTGCCAAATCCAGAACCTGTCAAGCTATCAGTCTTGTCTGGCACAACAATTTCAGTTGATAATAATAAAATTACTGGTTGTGGCAGACACATTTAAGAGATCTGAGTCAATCAGGTCCACATGACTGAAAAGAACTTGAAGGATGTAACAGCAGATAGTATTGCTGAATTGTTGCAAACTCCCTAGTGATACATCTCAAGGCAATTATTGCGTTGAAAGAACATCAGACAGGTTTGTTTCTTACAAGGGTGGCTCATAGCTACATTCACCCCAAAACCAGACTTAACCATTTCTACTCAACCAGCCCATATGGCAATGTATGGATGGAAAATAGGGATGAACATTAAGGATTATCACTGAACAGATGGACTGAGGTCAGCACACAAGGGCTGATAGGTGTTGGCAAACTGCAGAAGCCATGAGGACACTGAAGAGGACACTGAAGATTTGACAACATGTCTTGGAGCAGGAGGTAAGGAATGTCACTTGGGTAGCTGTGTAGGAGGCAAAAGGGTTATTGAGTCACAGGTGACAAATACCCACTGTGGGGACAGAAAATCAATAAAATTAGGGGTTTTAATCAAGCAAATCGAGTTGTAATAAAGATCCAATTGCTGTAAGTCAAAGGCAGACTGGATGAGAAATCAGGTACAGCCTGATTCTAACACTGATTGTAACTACTGCAATGGCTCTGCAAAAATTGTGTCAAATTCCCCCTGGCTGGAATCAATACCCAATGTGTGGCGAGACTCTGCTCTGCCTGAACCTAAATTAAACACACCTATGCCTCAAGCCTGGATTTTCACAAGCTTTTGGCTGTTATTACAGGAGATTTCTAGCACTACTCTAAAAAAAAATGAAAGGAATTGCACATGTTTTGAGTTTTTGCTCCAGCCAGGACCCACATGGCTGCAGCTCGGCTGGCTGCCAGCTCTGGTTGTGGGCACAGGAGCTTGGAGTGCACACAGGAATAGCCCCTGGCACCTCTCATGCTCCCTGGGCTCGGGGCTGGCAGAATCCCTGCAGCTGTGCCCACACCAGGACATTTCCTGGACTCAGGGCTGGCAGAATCCCTCCAGCTGTTCCCATACCAGGACATTTCCCAGGTTCAAAACTGTCAGAATCCGTACAGCATCTTCCCCAGCAGCAGGCACAGATGCAGTGGGATGGTGGGCATAGGCCAGCACACCACTAGGACCCAACACACTAAAACAGCATTATCACTGTTTTTTTGCTCTTTTTCTTTTCCTTTTCCCTCTCTACAGTATCTTTTCCCTCTCTATAGAGAGAAGATCCTGCTTAGTGGATACCAGCTTGCAGGTCACTGTGATCTCAATCAATAATGAAGTGCTTCAACACATTGCCATCCTGTTCCAGAGTAGAGCCTGCAGAAGGCATTCAGTGTGTCACCTCCCCCTTCTCCTCCTTCTTCTCCTCCTCCTCCTCCTCCTCCCCCACGAGAGCACCAGGGATGTACCCCATCAGTGACTGTAATTAACCACCAGTCAAAAACAACTGGTTGGGGCTTGGGAGTGATTTCAAACGCCCTGCCTCCACTGTGGGAGAGGTTACTGTGGGCAACCACAAGCTTGCCTGTTTGTAACAATTGCCTTTACACCGACATCCAAACCAAATGTAAAATAGACCAGGCAGAACAGGTCAGGGTGACCCAAAGAGCTGAAGAAAAAAAGAAGGGAGCGGGGTATCCGTATTAGCATTAATTTTGTCAGTGTGTCCTGCAGAAGAGGGTTACACTGATGTATGTCTTCTCCTACTTATGGAAACTTCACCAGAAAAAAAGCACTTAAAAATAAGCTAAGAAAAGGGAGGGAGGACTGCACTGCCTTTTGGGATCTTTGGGGAGAAATCAAATGAAACTCTCTGCTCCTTGGTGAGTCACAAATCAGAGCCACTTCAGGAACAAGTCCTTCAAGACAGTGTTGTTGCAGCCCAGCAGCTCTGGAGGCTCAGCCCATCCCAGCAATGGGGTCAGGATTTTGCCTAAAATGCTGACACACCCAAGCAGTCTGGGCTGCCTCTGTCCCCCTGTGCTGTGCCTGGCACTGCCAGGGCTCCTCTCTGCAGCCCCTGAAGCCGCCTCAATCCAGAGCTTCCCAGCAGCGGCAGGTCTGTTGGCACCCTTTTCCAGGATATTCTCCTCCTCACAGAATCACAGGAGGATTTGGGTTGGAAGGGACCTTAAAGATCACCCAGTTCCACCCCCTGCCATGGGCAGGAACACCTTCCACTATCCTAGCTTGCTCCAAACCCTGTCCAGTTTTCCAAGGCCTTGGAAATTTCCAGGGACAGCACAGCCACAGCTTCTCTGGGCACCCTATGCCAGGGCCTAACCACACAGGGAAGAATTTAATCAGATGAACTCAACAAGGAGACACCCAGTGATTAACACCAATTTATAGACTATGAGGAGAAAACCTCAGATTTTAGATATCAGCATCCTGTCAGTTTTAGTAGGGCTACAAGTTTGGGCACAGAGACAAATTGTAACAAGGACCCTCACCAGGGACACAGGAGCAGCTTCCATCCTGCAAAAGAAAACACTGAGCTTTTAATTTCACCAAGAAATTGCTCCTTTCTGCCTTGGAATAGTCACATCAAAAGAGGGGAGTGCTCTGCTCTGAGGCTTCAGGAGCCAGAACCAACTCACCCTGCTGTTTAATTTTTTTAGACTCACAAGGTTTGAAATGAGGGAAAAATACATTTCCTGAAACACAGACAAAAGCTATTGAAATTCCCCATTTTGCAAGTAGAACCCTGAAAATGTTTTCTGAGGATGTATCCATCATTTTCCAGCCATTTGCTGACTGTTCATCCCCCAGGTGACATTAGGGCCCCAGGAGGGGACCTGGCCGTACCTCCGAGCGTCATCCCGGCCTCGTAGCACTTGCGCAGGCGGCACGAGGGGCAGTTTTTCCGCCGGAACTTGTCGATGGTGCAGTCGTTGCGGCTGGCACAGAGGTACTTCTGTTTACCTGAAACACCAGAGAGACACAGCATGGGTGCTGGGTGCCAGCAGAGAGACAGGCTGGGCTCTTTCAGGATCACCAAGGGCAGCCTGGAGAGTTTGGTTCTCGTTTTTTAAATGTCATCCGTCTATTTGTGTCATCCATCCATCCATCCATCCATCCATCCATCCATCCATCCATCGTCATCCATCCGTGTCATCCATCCATCCAATGTCATCCATCCATCCATCCATCCATCCATCGTCATCCATCCATGTCATCCATCCATCCAATGTCATCCATCCATCCATCCATCCATCCATCCATCCATCCATCCATCCATCCAGTGTCATCCAATGCCATCCATTCATCAGCCATTGCATGGCTTTTGGGAGTTTTCTCCCAGACCAAACCCCACAGTTTGAACCTTCTGCCACAATACTCACCTACCAGTCCCCCCCAGAACCATGATGCTCTAAAGATTTTTTTGGGGCTGAATTATTTTTTGTGCAACCCATTGATATCAGTTGGGTCTGTTGTAAATACAGATATTGGGGTTTGGGAGCTGCGGCTCCACAGGTGAGTCTGATGCCACCCTGGGATGTATCTGCAGTCAGCCAGGAGGGAACTGGGACCAGCAATTCCCTATACAGAGGACCTTGTGCAGCTGTGGGTTTTGGGCAGGGGCAGGAAATTCAGGAGTTACTTATGGTGAGAGTCACCCATACCTCAGACTCAGCCTGCACTTGCTCAGAGAGCAGCTCGTGCAGCTCCAGGGCACAGCTTTTTTTTTCACTGCCCCATTTGCCACACAAGCCAAGAATCATCACTTTTCTTGTCAAGTTTGAACACATTTACTGGAGCAGGATTTATCTGATGTTCTTCAGGCTGCTCCAAACCAACCCAGACTCAGCACACAACAGAGAGGTGCAGCTTATAGAGGCACAGGCAGCCCACACGGGAAACCAGCCCATGGCCTTTATTTGTTGTCCTGCAAGGGGTTACTTTCTGCATTCCTGTAGAAATAGCCCCCTGGAGTCATCAGAAGTCTATGAATAAGGTGAGGCTGAATTTTGAAATGAGATGCGCCAATTTTGGTGCAGAGATTTTACAACCCCCACACCTCCCCCATTGCTGCCCTCACTGCCACTGCCTGAGGCTTTTACAGGGGCTCCTGGGTCCCCCCACTCGTGCCTGGCCACAGTTTTGGCAGGACCAGCTGCCACTGTCACCCCCACAGACCCCCCCGGCAGGGCTCAGCACCCAGCCCACTCCTCCCACCGCACTCAGGGGCTGCACAAACACCCCATGTTTGACCTTCTCACAACTGTCCTCTTCAAAGTGGATCATCACCCACCCCTGTGCCACAGCCATCACCTGCATTACTCACCACATCTCACACCTGTTAAATCATTTTAACACTGTCCTCAGAACAGCTCTTCTCACCTTCTCCCTGGCTCATTTCCCATGAGAGGGATACTGAGGCAAGCCTCGATGACACCTAAATCCCTAAGGAACCTAAGGGGAGAAACACCATCCTCCCTTTCAGCAACTCATTGAGGAGGAGGATGAGTAACAAAGAACTTCAGCTGAAACTGGGTTACTTGCAGTTATTTTTGTGCCAGGGGCACTGAGAGCTGAGGCCACACTCGTTCCACTCAACCTTTTTAGGTACTCACAAACACGTGCCCTACTTTCTGGGGAATGAAGAGCTGGAAGGAGCTCTGGCTGCCTGAGCCCCCCAAGGATCAGGCACAGCTGTGTCAGGAGTTGCACCCCACAGCCCCAGGCCCCTGCTCACCCCCAGGATCTGGACAGACCCCAACTCGTGGGCTCATCCCCACCCTGCTCTGTCCCCAGGGGAGGGAGCACAGAGCACAGATGAGGTTTGGTAGTGGAGTCCAAAACTTGCTCCATGAGGCCACTGTGCTGTTTCCCATCTCCCAGCTCCAGAACTGCTGGGCAGGGACATGGAGAGGGAGCCTTTCCCATGAGCCAGGAGCAGGCAGAGGGGCCCAGAGGACAAACAGGGGATGCTGGAGGAGGCTGCAGGATGGCAGTGCCACCCCAGAGAGAGCAGCACAGGCTGTGAGCTGCAGCCACAGCTGTCCCCACAGTCACGGTACAGTGACACTGCTGACATGGCCAGGCCAGCTTCATGGTTCATGGACAGGCTCTTTGGGCCTGTCTCTGTCTCTGGAACCTGCTCTCTGTTGTCTGGGCCTGCACAAGTGAGCCCTGATTACTTTATGCTGTTCTCCAAGAACAAAAAGAGAACCCAACAGCCACAGCAGGCCATGGTGTTGCTGCTGGGTGTGAGAATGAGCTGAGCTCACCTCACCCTAATTCCTGGGGATGCAGAGATTTCCCCTTAACCACCAGGAGAGGAACCACCAGCTCTAAAATGCATGAGAACAGGGAAGGGTGGCTGGAACGTGCATGAGTTCCTTCCCTCTGAAGTGCAGGGAAGTTCCTTCCCTTCTCACACACAGAGTCCTGTTTCTAATTTCAGGGTAATTCACTCTCTTCATTCCAGAGCAAGGTGAGTGAGACATTTGCAATCAGCTGCTCTTTATTTAAAGATAAATGTGCTGGTTTTTCCTTCTCTAGAGTTTAACACTGAAACTACTTCTTTGTTTTCCTTTTCTCCCCTGCAAACAGCAGAGGTGTTTTCTCCTGCCACTCCAAGGCAGAGGCTCTTGCTTTGCAAACCTGTACATACAGGTCCAAACCTCACACCCACTCTGGGGTGTTCCCCAGCATTCCCGCTCTTTGCAAGGCCCCTCACCCAGCCTGTCCTTCCCCCACAGACCATGCCCAGCTGAGGACACTGCAGATGTCACCCAGAGAAGCCTCCCATCCTCCTCTGCCCCCCAGGTCCTGACATGTGCACAGGTGAGAAGGGAACTCACACTCAGCACCCTCTGCCTTCCAGACCAGCACAGCCACCCCAAGAGAGCATCTCTGCAGCAGTCCCCACCATGAACACACTGCAGTGCTCGTGTCCCTCCTGCTTGGGATGTCCCCCTCACCTCGGGCCCCTCCTCGGCCCCGACTCTTCCACCACCTCTGAGCCCTCCCACTCCTCTCCTGGGACCACAGCACACACTGGGAGCCAAGGGGAAGAGCTGCTCTCCAGGTCTGCTTGACTAAAAATAATGATTTATGGAGGTGAGTTGCTCAATCCAGAGGAATCATCTAACTAACAGCCTGCTGCCACACGAGCTGTTGTACCCAGAAAAACTTTCTCCTCCAGACAACAAAGTAATCTCTGCAAACATCTGGAGCAAGATATACGACCATAAATGTGAAAGACCAGTAAATGCCTTTTGGAAGACAGAGATCCTCATACTTCAGGACATAAACTGACTTTTAACAGCTGGGGGATGAGGCCAAGCTTTCTGCGAAAGCAATTCCCCATGGTCTCATGGAACCATGGAGGCTCCAGAGCTCCCCTGGAAAGCCTCTGCTCCTTGGGGCTGTCACCAGCAGGGCCATGCCCAGAACTGAGCCTGGGGTTTGGTGCTGGTGCCCTTCCCATGTGATGCTCCTATTAATAACTCAGGAGGGCTCAGCCACAAAGCTCCCAGGAGCCAGCACTGAGCCACTCTGAGGAACCACCTTTGCTAAGTCATTTCCTGAACAGCCCTCTATATTTACCAGTGAGTATAGGGAAAGCACCCAGAGCTTTCCCTGTGCTCTAGTCATCCCAGATTTTGCTCTCCCCATGACATTTTAAGGCACATAACACCCAAACAGTCGTGAGAAACCCACCACTGGAGCATCGTGATGCTGCAGCACCACTGAATCTTCTGCAGACTCAATTTCTTTGCATGTCACATCAGTCCGGGAAGGAGGAAAAAGTTTTTTATAACATGGCAAGGATCTTTGCAAAGGTTTACTTTAACTTGGTGTCATCTTGAAATCTGGCAAGAAACTGTTGAGTTGGCCCAGTGACATCTCTCTGGTGTAAGGCTAATCCTCAGCAGGTCAGAACATAGAACACTAATCCATATGGAGAAGGATGGAGGCACTCAGAGCAGCCTGCACAGCAGCCTGGCTGGGTGCCTGCTAGGAAAATTGCCAAATACTGTGTTATTTTTTTTCATTTAGCTCTCTGCTATTTAAAGACAGCCCCATCAGGAGCACAGCCCAAAGCATCCCAGTCCTACACTGCCAGGAACGCTGTGTGGAGGCAGCTCTGGGCTGGCTAAGGTCACCAGCAGATCCCAGAAACCTCAGAGGGACAAGGAAGGTCTGCTTCTCTCCGGGAATACATGCAGAGACACAATGATTCCCCTCCTGGACAGAATGGGAGAGCAGGAGCCCTGGGCTGCTCACTGACACAGCAGCTGCCTTGTTGGAAGCATTTTTCTGTTTCAGGGACAAGGGTGGCATCACAAGGACTGAACTCCCATGTCTTCAACCCACCCCAGCCATGCTCACCACACCCAGAGGTGTCCTGCCTGAAGGGAAAAACATCATCTGTGCTGAGCTGGGTGAGCTTTTTGCTCAGCAGATGAGGAGGGGGAGCAGCAGCCTGGTGCCAGGGCAGCCACCCAGCCCTCTGGACTCTGGGGCTGTGACTGCAAGAGAGAGCTGGGCTTGGTCACCAATCGAGGCTGGTGACCCTGCAGGTCAGGCAGTCCCCACCAGTCTGTGGGCTGTGCTTCAGGGCTGGCCTGGACACAGCCTGGACATCTTGAGAGAGTCTGTGAGTCACAAGAGCCAGTAAAACGAGACAGGACAGCATTCCTGTCTTTTCTATTAACTCTTCAGCATCTTTCTGGAAAAAGCAGTTGAAGCTGAACCTGTGAAACCCCTCAAAACTGTCAAATATTCCATCAAAGCAGGGGTGACCTGCTCCTGCTCATAAACCCCTCAGTGTGTCCAAAGGGAAGAAGAATCAGTGTCACAACCTTTTTTTTTAAATCTTTTCCCTTTCTCACCCCTTAGAAGCCAGCGCATGGCTACAAAACCTCCTTAAGTATCCCTGCCAGATAAGTTCACTATTATTTCAGAAGACTGAAATAAAATGGAAATTATGTGCCCAGCTATTTCCCTCCCCTCCAAGATGCTGTTTGTGCTGCTCCAGTCACAGCTCTGCTGCTCCCTCCACTAAAGGCTGTGCCTTGACACCAGCACCAGGAAGGTAACAGGTTTCTTTTCTCATGGGAAAGCATTTTGGTCTACTGCTGTAAAGTCTCCAAAGGCGACCTAAGGCTTTCTGAGAGGCATTTTATGGACTTTAAAACATGAGAACGCGCTGAAATATCAGCTTTCAGTAATGCTGCTCAGCTTTAAGAAGGAAGAAATCTGTCTGGAAACTCACCAAAAGTTAGAACAGAAATCACCACCTGCCATCTCTGCATTCAGTACCTATAAAGGAGCACAATTTATTGTCACTTCCCTAAAATAAAGACTTAGCCATGTACCTCAGGGTAGCATAAGATGAAACCTGACAATTTGGCAACTCCCTGCACACACATATGGCTCCTCAGGAAAGACAAAGGGCTGCTGCCCAATCCCAACACGACCAAAATTAACATTTAAATTAATGATATAACACAATCAGGAGAGGGAACAACTCCACAGCACGTGCTTCAGAGCAGCCCAGGCTGCCCCTCTGCCCATGGGCACCTCTGGTCCCTGTCACCCATCCTGGTGCCAGGGGAGCACAGCTCCTACAGACACCCGCAGACACAGGCACTCCAGCAGCACTTCATCTGACTGAGAGCCAAGCCTCCACTTACTATAAATCAACAATAACTTGCTGACTTAAACAAGCATCTGTTATTTACTCTGGCTGCACAAGCCAACCCACTTGGCTTGACACAGAGCTGGTGTGCAGCAGAGACAGATCTGCAAATGATTTACTTGGGAGAAATATGCAAAATTTGTTAACTATTGTTTGACTGCCCTTTTTGGCAACACTGATGTCCCCTGTGGCACAGCCCCTGTTCTTCCCTGAACCAGCACTGACAAGTTGGCTCCTGGCACAGAGGAATGAGGGAAACATGACTCCAACAAGAGGCAGGATAATGCTAATTGATCTAATTGATCTAATTGATGTAGAAGCAGCATTCTGACGACAGCAGGTGAGCACCCCTAGCCTGGGACCTCTGCTCATGCACAGGAGAGGGTGGGCACAGGGGAAGGTCATGGTGAGACAGAAGCTGCATTCTCTTTTTGCTGCCAGCCCTCTCCAGAGGACACCACAGCCAGTGACAACAGCTGCCCACATAAATTATATTAGCAAGAAGGAAAAAATGATGGCTGGTGTTGGTTCATGTCTCCTGACAGCAAGCCTGATGAGTGACCACAGGCACGTTACATTGCTGGACAGTTCATCTCCCACACCAGAGGCTCTCACTGCTGCCCAAGAACCACAGCTCGGAAGTGCAGGTGGAAACCAGCCACTGCTGAGGCACAGCCTGAGGAAACAGCTGGGCTGGGAGCTTCTGCTTGGTCATTGCTCAGAAAAGGTGGTACAAAGACGTCACTGTTGAGAGGGAACATCTGGGCTCACATTTATCCTTGGAGACCCTGACACTATGGAGCTGGACATGAAGGAGGATTTGTTTTCTCATGGTCTGGGGAGAAGCATCACAGACCCCAAGGTCAGAGCAGGGCTCCTGGTGGACACAGGGTTGTGCTGTTTCGTGGGCACTCACAGAAGGGACCCTCTGGAAGGGGTGCAGGAGAGGAAAAACTTCCCCTGAAACCACAGGTGGGATCATGGGAGCTTAGAGCACTCTGGAGAGTCAAGAGGAGAAGCAGGAACTGACTGCTCCAGGCTCTCACCAGGTCACTAAGATAATCATGGAATCACAGAAACATTTGGGTTGGAAGGGATCTTAAAGACCATCTTGGTCCACACCATGGCAGGGACACCTTGATTGCTCAATGCCACTGGAATGAATTGTATTTTGGCAAACTGGTTTGGCTACTTTTTGAGAGCAATCTGTAAAATGAAGTTACAAACACCAGAGAGAAAAATTAATTTATCTTTGATTTTTCTCCCTTCCTGGTTTAAGAAATCTGAGAATGCCACCACAGTGGGGCAGTGACCTTCCCTCTCCTGTCCCCATTACCTTCAGCTGCCCGTTTGAAGAACACTTTGCAGCTCCCACACGTCAGGGCTCCGTAGTGGCACCCAGATGCTTCATCTCCACAGATCAGACAGGTCTTCTGAGGTGGGAAGTAATAATCAATGGGCAGGACATGGTCACGGCCCGGCTCCAACCTGCAGCACAAACCAGACAGGACAAGAGAAGGGTCAGCAAATGAGCTCAGGGCAAGCTGAGGGGAGCAGGGTCATGGCAGAACTGCAGTGATGGATCAGCCAAGAGGGTGAGCAAAGCAACAACTGAGCAAAGCCTGGCCCTGACCATGCAGAGACCCTGCCACTGCGTGCAGTGTGTGACAAAGTGTGACAAAGTACAGTGACAGTGACACACAGTGACAGCACAGCCCAGGCACAGAAGGTGACTGAGGCTGGCTGCTGCAGTGATCATGGAATTTTGGCTTCAGTAATGAAGCTCATTCACCAAACAAGGCAGAGCACAGCACCCCCAGCCACTTAATGCCATGTAAACCACCAGCACCAGACTGCCCTTCTCCAGCACCTCACCATTCCACACACCCACATTCTCCTCTCTCAGCTGGTACCATCCCCTCCCCAACCTGATCTGATCTGTTTGATCAGATCCATGGAGAAACTGCTTTTCCAGAGGGCATGGTAGGAGCAGAGGGGCTAATCCAAATCAGGAGCCAACATGTCCAAGCAGTTTGGGAAGCACCAGCACGTTGAGTTAATGACCAGAACTCGTTTACCTGCAACCACTGAAGGAGGCAATTAGCTTTTTACAGTCTGCAAGTCACTGCAACTTCTCCATAAAATTAGATCCCCTTTCATTTTTGGCATTGTTTATTGCTTGCAGGTGAGCTCTGAGAAATCAGGTTACATCAACAGTGAGTGTGACAAAGATGGGACTTCTTGAAAAAACCTTATACCCAGAAAAACCCCACTGTCCTCACCTGTCCCTCACCTGGGAGCAGTGCAGATCCCACCTCAGTAACTGGAGCAGCAATTTCAACCTCAGTTCTTATGGTAGAAACCTTCTGAGTGATTTCTCATCTCTTTAACAGGAACAATCAGTGACTGATCTGTTGATGCAGCTCAACCAGCCTTCCCCAGCCATCTCCATTTCCAAGGCTTTTCTGGAATTACTGATTAAATGGAGGAGGCACAGTTGACTGCACTGTGTCTGCCACAGTGAAATCCTGTTGCAACCATGTTCCTTTCTTGTCTTACACAGCATCCGACCTGTCCTCCTGGTGCTCCCACATCCCCCCATGTGCTCCAGAGCCCTGGCACTGGGTGAGAAGGGCTGCAGGAGCGCAGACCCTGCTCAGGAATATCAGCAGCACACACAAAAGCCTGGCTAAAAGTGTTGTATTTTTCCAGTGTGTTTTAGGCTCACACATACCAGGCCTTCCTGCTAATGGCCCAACACCTCTTTTCTGCTCTCTGTGCAGTCAGAAATCCAGCAGTGCTCATTTCCCTGTTTCCACCAGGCTTCCCCTGTGTCTCCCCCACGCTCAGCACCGTGTGCCATGAGCAGCAGGTGTCGTGACAACAGACACGGGACTCCCAGAGGACCCCGGGGTGTTTTTGAGGATCAATTATCTGAAACTGCAAAGCAGGTTTGAAACTGAGTCGCTTCTGAAACAGCTTTTAAAGAGCTGATCATGTATGGAGAGATTTGTGCAAGTGCAGAAACACCTTCCAGCAGGTGTGCATTGAGAGTAGCGCATACATGTGCCCCTGCCAGGGATGGGTTGGGCAGGGCTCCCCCCACACCCCACCATGCTCAGCCACCTTTGTCCCCACTGCCACCAACAGATGGAGACTGCAGGACACTGGCTGACATGGAAGGTGATTCCTGGCCATGAGATAGGCTCCTCCTGGGGTAAGGCTTGGCAGGGTGTGCACAGCCCCACACGCCAAAGGGCAGGAGATGGCATTTAGGCAGCTGGGGAGTGGTTCTGCCACAGACCCTGCAGCACCAACGTGGTTCCCTGCCAGTAGCCACTGCCCAGAGCCAAAGCATCTGCCCAGGAATGCCCTCGACTTCAAAACAACACCAGTCTGCCTTTTCTTTTTTATTATTGAGAGAGAATTGCAAGAAAAACATAATGTGAAAATGTTCTAGCAACTCAGAAAGAGCTATGCTAATGGTTCCTTTAATGATCCATTTTCCAGTTTCCAAGGGACATTTACAGGGTGTTCTCAAAACGTGCAGGTAATACATAACACGGGCCAATGAGCCAAAGAGGTGCCTGCAGAAGCTGCAGGGCTGGCAGCACTCTGGGCAGAGCCCCAGGTGCCACCTGCCTCAAGGCAGTGCCACAGCCCCTCATCACTATTGAGGGCACAGGAGGGACACAAGAGACGGCACTTCATCGCCGGCAGCTCCAAAACTTTGCTCTGCCTGGAAGTTTGTACTCCATGGGGCTGTGCTGGCCCTCAGAGCCACAAGAGGGCTCGGGTCAGACCAAAACAACTGCAGGGGGCCCGCAGTTGGCACAAAGTGTGGCAAGTGTCAGCTCCACTGCAGAGCCCAAAGCAGGGCGATAGCGGCCGGGGCAGACACAACTGCGAGCACGGCGGCGGAGCCAGAGCTGCCCCCAAGGCCAAGGCCATGGCTGTCACAAAGCAGCTTGGTGGCTTTTGGGGGCAGGGAAAAAATAACCTTGGTATCTCTTCTACAGCTCTAGGATGAGGTTTTACTCTTGTTTCAGAAGGTTTCTGTAAGAAAATGGAGGATTTGCTGAGCTCCCCTCACACACGCAAATATTTCTGGGGAGTAGGAACTATCATGTGATGAAGCATTTGTTTGTCATTAGTTAAATTTCACCAAACAGCCACATTTCACAACATCCCCAGAAAGCCAAGAGAAGGCACTGGTGAAAGAGGAGCCAACCATTCCTCCTGATCCACAAAGGAAGTTTCCATCTCAGCAACAGCTGGCACAGGCTGCTCAAAAGGAGCCATGGCACAACTGCCCTAAGGCAGACCAGGACACAATGATGGCAGCTGCCACACACAGAGCCCCAGGGCAGAGTGCCCTGGTCCCATACTCCCTGAGGAAAGGGGGTTTGCACCTTCATCATGCAAAACCTGCACATCAGCAATGCTCAGGAGGATGTCGAGAACAGAGCTGAGCCAGCACTCACAGGTGACACAAAACCCTACCCAGTCACTTCAAGTATTGTCATTTCTGAGACACTCATGTTATCAGGGGGGATCTCTGCCTTTGAAACAGCATTACCTGTGCATGACATTTTCTAATGCAATATTAAATTTAATTGGCTTCCCCTCAGTGCAGCTGTGGTGCTCCTGCCTGGATGAAGTTCTGTGACTCCCACCAAAAGGCCAGACCCATGCTCAGCAAAGGGCACGACTGCCCACTTTGGGCACATCCTCGTGTCCCCTTGCACTGGCATTTGGCTGCTTTTGGCTCCAGCCAGAGCTGAGCCAAGCCTGCACTCACAGCCTCCACATCACACTCATCCAGATAAAAGGACCTGCACAGAAACTTTAAAGCATTCATCTGTTAAAATGCTTTCAGCCATTTAATCTATAAACATGCAGCTTTGTGCACTGAATTCATGTTCTTTCTGCTAAATAACCTTGAGTATTTTCCAGTCTGCTCATGCCTTGTTTTTGTGTGCGATGGCAGCAGAGGCACGACAGCATCTGAGAGCAGAGCAGGGTGCAGCCTGAGCCCCAGGCCTGGTAAACACACACAGGAACAGGATCCTCACCGGATTTAAATAATTATTAGCAGATGACAATGGGTTTTCCAAGCATCCCAGCAGGGCAGGCTGGCAGGAGGAGCAGACTTCAGAGAAAGCAAATGTTCTCCCACCAGCAACTCACAGGAGCAGGCTTGGCTCTCCAGCCCCGGCACTGCCTCCAGCCCCAAGGGGCACAAATAGAAATAGCTTCCACAGACCCAGCTGCACAAATCCCTTCTCAAATCCCCAAATTAAACTCTGGGTTTTTGTTTTCAAGCACTCTGTTTCCTTGTTTTGACAGTTTGTTTTTCACACAGCGCATCTCCGCTGCAGCTGAAGCCCCACCACTCCCAGCCCTTTTCTCTCCTCTGCTTCTCTGTGGTGCATGAAGGCTGTTCCAGACCCAGCCACTGCTTGTCCCTGCACTCAGGGGACAGCCCCAGCCTGCCCCCTGACTGACTGAGCCTGCCGGGGAGTCCCATCCCCTCATTTAATGGCCATCCTGGGCTCCCACCTTCCAATTTTCCACAAGGAAGAAGCAGAAAATGAGCTTGCAAAGGTGAAAGGTGGCAGGTTTGCTACACCTGGAATGCAAAGCCTGGGAGAAGCCACCCTTCAGCCCTTGCACCTCACCAGTGGCCACAGCAGAGGCTGCTGCCCACATTTGGTGCAGCTCACACCAAAACTTCTGCCTCAGAACCTGGTGTCCATCCAGAGACTCAGGGAGCAGCTTAAATAAATCAGCTCAGAGAAGATGGAACACTTGATCCCCCAGACAGAGCAGGTAGCTATGAAAAGAGATGGCACAAGGACATTGCAAGGTCCCTTCAGATGGGAACTCACCTGATTATGAAGCAAAAAGGGGACAAAAAAGCAAACAAGGAGCAGCAAGGCTGCAGCCCTGAGGAGCACTCCCGAGGTCATCAGAGCCCTACACTGTGTCTTCCTGGTGACTGCAGAGTCACCTGGAGTCACCAAGGACAGGACCTTGGCATCCTTGTTGCACAGAGAACCCTACTTATTTTCCAAGGAAACACTCTGTCCTCACTGATATTTATGCAGTTAGTTTAAGCCACACCATAATCTTCCATTTTTCAAATCCATCTCCTCTGCTCACGAAAAGAAAATGTGCCTGTAAAGAAAATCACAAATAATGAGACAGTTGATACATATATTTCATGCTCCAAGAGACACTGCTATCATGCCAGATGCAGGTACAGGCTTACAGGTCCCAGGAAAGCATCCAGGGTACAGACTTGTGGTGCCACATACCAACATCTTCACCTGCAGGAGAATTTTCACCTTTCCCTCTTCCAAAATCAAACCCAGTGATGCTTACAAAATGCTCTGGAAGAGGGGATGAGAGTTCTCAGTGCCTTTTCTCACAGCTGGTGTGCCAGGCAGATCTCCAGAGGAACACAGCACTGTACCAGTGTCCAGCCATGGGGCACAGCACCTCAGGGGAACTGGCCCACAAGGCCACCATGGTCCCCCAGCGCCCCCAGCTAACCACAGCATCTGCTACAGGGCTACCAAGAGAAACCCCAGGCAGAAGGATTCCAATCTCACAGAACTCCAAATGAATTTGGAATTTAATTTGGCAACGAGGATCAACTTGTGCTGATGGCCAGAGGTCAGTGGTTGGCTCCCAGCTGGGCTGCTGAGGGATGCCAGGACTCATTCCCAGACTCAGATATTTAAAACACAAAATACTTTCCCCTCTTCCTTTGGCAGTGGAATTATTGCTAAGGAAACCAATGCTGCAAATTCTGCATTTTTATTTCTCCACTGTAGGAAGCACAAGGCAAAACCAGTCAGCAAGAAGGGCGGGACCCAGCATGGAAA